CTGAGATTATGAGGAGGGAATATTCATTAGCACCCCACTTCTGCTTCTTCTCATTCCACACTGTCACACCGCGCCCATCCGAGAATATGCTGACGTCCAGTACAGTTGCTCGGCGCTCCCGAACAGCGATTAGGCCAGGCTTCCTGAAGAAAGTCGAAGTAGGTGCTCTTAACTCCTCGAAGACGGTATATCCCAGGCGACCTAGACGTTTTGCGAATTCCCTTGCAACTCGATTATGAGAGCACATCTAGCATCGTGAGTGATCCAGCGGGACTGCAAAATATGCACCAAACTCTCCGGTTGGCCAGGTTTCCTCGACATAAGACCGTCTGGCCACCATGACCATGCCAAGCGCATCTAACTCTCGTCCTGAGCAGGTTGCATCGGAGCTGGATACCGCGGATACATATCCGACAAGACAGTCGTTCGGGAAATACGAGCCATCGATTCGAGAGGGGAGAAGCGACCAACTCTCGTAAACTGCGTCTGCCAAAGGTGTTGTGTATAGTACCCTCCCAAGCAGCCACCAACTCTTTCTTGGTGTTTATGTATGTACCATGAACTCAGATCAGAAGGCTGAGACCACGAACAGCCTTGTCAAATGCGGAATCATCGACCACACTGCGTAGTACTCGTCAGTTGATAATCAGAAGCCTTTCAATACGCGCTCTCCACTGCATCGAGATGGTTGAACTAGGGCTTGGGATATCAAGTACCCCAGAGTGATTACGGCCGTAGATTTAGATGATTGAGGTGTCCTTCGGTACACGTGGCCAGCCACGAATAATTTGCCTCATTAACCTGTACAGCTTTTTGAGCTTGTTTTTGGGGATGTGCCGAGCGCCAGCGAGCTTCGGTATCAGGTAGTTCTTCGTAATCTCACTCTTTGATGCGGCTTCTACGAGGCACGCCCATCTAATCAAGCAGTTTGAGCAACAGCTACCAGTGGCTACAGACTCCCTTCCTCTGGGAAGTAAAGAAGACGCCAAAATATGTCACGGTGTCTGTCGGTCCCGGAGGATTGATGAGTTCCTCAGCGAAGCAAAAGACTTGACTGAGGTCTCAGACACCCGATGTTTTGTGTCCCAGGAAATCACCAGTGCCTTCGTCTTTCGGATGTTGTTCGTCATACCAGCTCTTTTGAACTCAACAAAAGCAGCTCCAAATTCCCGTTTAAGGCGAGTCTGACGTTCCACACACACACACACTGCTCTGTCGTCAAAGAAAGTAAAACCATCCACTAAGGTATCACGGACCTGGTACCCTAGTTGTGGCATCGACAATCCAAGAACCTCTCCCATTGCAATGATGGACAATAATGGGGGGAATGGATCTCACTGCCTTACACCTATGTGACATTGAACCTCGGAACCGGGGGAAACTACTACAGTATTCTCATAGGACTCATCAAACTAGAGGTGACGGTGCTCCCAACGCCTCGGCAGATCTGACAATTGTGTCAACAAATTCCAAACTGAAGTTGAAAGCAACCAGCTTTTGATTTGTAGTACTTGTCACATTCCTCCTCTCCTGTGTACTGCTGGGAACTGGTGAGGAGGCACCTGATGATTCGTATCGTACATTGCCTAAAGTAATTAGCACACTCAAACCAAACAGGCTGGTTAGCCCAGTCTGGAGTTCCTGAACTCTTAGCCCACTTAAAGTGACGTTCGGGCTACCCAGTTAGCACTACGAGGAGGTGATTCAGAACGCCATTATTACTACTATGGTGACGATGTATACTACTGATGAATCACGTGAGTAGCGTCTGGTCAAGCGTCAGAGCGCAGTCTCCACATCCAATGGGAGGTTCGTACGGAAAGTATAGACCGCTTTTAAATCACTGTTTAAATGTTTAAAGAACTTGTAAAGAAATCCCGAGGTATACATTTTCACCCGTGTTCTTGTCGCTGCACCAAACGTAGCGAAGAGAAGCATTCAGTGGGGTGCTGTTTATCGACCAATACAAGAAATTAAATGTCTCATTTGTATAGAGTACTTGATTAGTGACCACTCCCAAGCATCCTATTGAATTAACCTGGATGTTCTTCGGATATTTGACTGACAATAAGGAAGCGTTACAAGGCGGTTTCGGGATCTTTGTACCAAAATTCCATAAATTGCGGGGACGGCACTCTGACAGCCAAACGCTACTCACATGTTTCATCAGTAGTATGCACCACTACAATATTAGTGCTAATACCAGCTACCACTAATGATTTCTTGCATTCGCTCTTTCTTGGCTTTTAGTCTATCCTTTCTGAAAAGAGCTGCATGCTTAACAGAAGACGAGTCATGTACATTTTTGCCGCCAATGCTTGTACAACTGATCAGCATCTTTATCGGTCACTGAAGTTATTGGACAAATTCGTTTTCTTGTGGTCACGATTAGTTGGTGCAGCTGTATTACCGGTGATGAGAAACATCTTTGGATTCGCGTCTTGTGGATGTTTAAATTTTGTCATGGCATCCACAGTTCATGTTTGAAATAGAGCAGGAAGCTGATTAAAAAACAGCCCCACACGGAGAAACGAGCTTAGGTCACGTAATGATGCCAAACTTTTTCTTACATTCTTCGACAGACTCCTGACAGCAAGACTAGATAGAGATGGTTGTTTTTGCGGCAAAGTTTGGGGTTATGGCTTTTTTTAGAAAACCCCCGACGCAATTTCGTTTGCATGGAAAGGAAGGGTGTGAGGCCTACTGGATGATCTGAAAGGTGTTGCCAATAGGGACGGGTAATACCATCAGCCAGCGAGGCATCGGGTTTTCCATCTTATTGTTAATCCGGTTAAAGAAATCACCTGTCCAATTTTTTGAATTCAATCACAGAAAGGTTCCCTCAACAGATTTTGGAACAAAGGATTTCGAATTGGAGCTTTAATGATTCGGTAAGCCCAGTCACTGAGTGACTCACTTGTTGTTCCCAAGTTTGGATTTTTTTAGTGATTCACCATTCGTTACCATCAGGCGAGTTTTGAATGAGTTTGTGCAAACATCCAGATAATGGAAACTTACAATAAGGACCCCCCATATCATCAAAACAATAACTTTCACCTTTCCATAAAAAAATAGCACCAAATTGTCAAGAAGTCGCGTCATTCAAGCCACTAGTATACAAAACTCCAGAACGTTTTTTTCATTAAATAATTCGCACAATAAAAATCATAAAATAGTCAGTTATCCCAAAAAATTCGTGTTGCTGCCTGGTGTTGTTTGAACGATCTGTTACAGAGACGAAAACAGCTTTCGATANGATCGGAAGATGCCGTCACCCAACTGCCATGTAAAAACGAAAAAAGAACACCATAATTAACGGGGGAAAAAACGAGAAAAATAGGAGCTCAGTCCTTTGGGGGAAGAATCAACAACAGAGTGCTTTTGAGAAATACACTCAATTGGAAATCAATCTGGTTTTCGCGGGAGACTCAGGTGAATCTCTCGTTTATGATATTTCACAACTGAATGTGCTGCACACAGGCCGCCTCATGTTTCAGTTGGTACGATATTCGAGATATCGCAATATATTTTTAGAAAGGAGACTACTCACAAGTTTGCTGAAAACTCTTCGAAAGCCCACGACCGGTATCGCCCTTCTTGTGGCTCATCAGGTAGGCGCAGTCCCCGAGTTTCTGTCAACCTAATGTTCTACTTGAACGCCAATTCGACTGTTTTCGAGAAACACACTCATCTGCAAATCAATTTGGTTTTCACGAGAGACTCAACTGAACCCTTCGTTTATGATATTCTACGAGTGAATGTGCTGCAAACAGGCTTTTGTGAAATTCGCTTGAAAAATAGCCCACAAGAGAGATTGGGCTAGGATTTTAGTTGAGCTCCAATTAAAACAAATTTACTTTTCACATGTGTGCATTTCGCCTCTAACAGTGTTTGAATAAAAACATCTCGGCTCTGGAGCTGTTTTGTAAGTACTATGGGGATTTACTGCTGTGTCATGTTTCGCTTTTGACACAGGCCAAACGACAAAGTTACCAAGGTTGGCCGAATTTCAAGATAGATGGGAAGCCAGTTGGTGTAGCTTTTTCCACTTATCGAATTAATCCGTGCTGAGTCCTAATCGCTGACGTAATACACTATTCGTGAGATTGTCTCTTGTCAGTTTGAATGACTAAAACTTACGACAGATGAGACAGGGGAAATTGTAATCAATTTGAATGGGTTTTTTGGGAGGGCCTCTTGCCCCAGTTTAGGGCACTTTAGTGGATCTATCCACTTAGGTTTTATTCAAAAATCTTGCTAACCAGGAATTGCGAGGACAGATTCGGGGGATTGGATGAATTTTAGACCGCCTGGGCTTTTTCGCACTTCAGACTCATACCAATTCACTGGGAATCGCACACTGCCATTGCTGACCCAAAACGCCCCCTCCACATGTTTAGCAGTTCTGTGCTCTCCATTGCATTCACACTGGGTAACTGTGCTGATTTCCGCCTCGTCGATTATCTGTAGTATGGGGCTTCATCCTCCTATCAAACCTTCCACATTTTCAAGATCCATTGCCACGTCGTTAATTATCGCCTGATATTCATCCACACCACTTGTGCTCACCGATTCTGGTATGCAACTCCCTGGCTGTCTGACCTATGTAAACCTTCGTACAGTCGTTACATTGTATTTTGTGTGCACAATCCCTAGTCCTATCAGTTGGAAGGCATTCCTTCAAATGAAACAATACAGAACGTAACATTTTTCCCTTCTGGAATGCTACTCTCACGTGAGCTGTACTTATACCCATTCTAATGACTTTACATGTCAGCTAACTCCTGTTCCGACCCAATCCTTGTTGGGACTTGGTGTCCGAACCAATACCCGTCTTGGGTGCCGCTTTATCAGACCCACCGGATAACCGCTGTCTTGAAGTCGCTTTTTTTACGTCAAATTGTGCTACTGCTGGATCGATCTTCTCTGTGCACCGAGTCGATACTCCACGAAACATTCCAGAATCCATACAACCTTTGAACCCTCACGTTAAGTTTAGCATGGAGCTAGAGTCCACGTTGGGTGCAACGCCCTCACTTGACCGCATGACAGATGAGAGTGGTGTGAAATTAACAGCGACTGCTTGCCGGAAACCAACAGACAGTGATGTGGTCCTAGATTACTTATTAGCCCATCCAAAGGCAGGGTATTTTAGCATAGTCTTCTGCGGGCTGATGTCGGCAGTGAGAATTTGACTGGTTTACGTAACCAGTAGATATTAACCTTTCACAGGTTCATCACCTGTACCGTGAGGGTGTTGTATGTGCATGAAAATTCAAGTAATAGTTTGGTTTTTCTGTTTTCCGGAATTGATAATTAGATGGCAAACGCTTTGTCACAGATCTCGGAAACATCATCAGTGGGCTATTTATTGCGGTGGGCGTTTGTTCTAGGGATGTCCAGATTTCATTTTATCGGTGGAGCCAATCTATGCTGAAAAGCCGAGAAGCACTGTAAAGAAGTTCCTTTGTTATTTGGAAACATCAGCAGTGCATATCTAAAAAAACCCAGGAAGTTCCCAACCCGCAACCTTCCGGTCAAATGTTTGAACGGCTTGGCAACAAGCGCCTGAGCAGCAGCGTGATTAGATCTCACTCAAACAGGATACAGTGTCACTCATCCTTCACTAACGGAAACTCACGTGGTCAGCAGTGCATATCTAAAAAACCCAGGAAGTTCCCAACCCGCAACCTTCCGGTCAAATGTTTGAACGGCTTGGCAACAAGCGCCTGAGCAGCAGCGTGATTAGATCTCACTCAAACAGGATACAGTGTCACTCATCCTTCACTAACGGAAACCACATCACGTGGTCACCTATCTTGCCGGCTTCTCGAATGACGACTTCTCAGAGGGAAGGTTCAGTGAACTGATGAAATTATTCTTCCTCTGAGCTAATTATAGATCGGTGGTGGTATGAGGAAAGGGTTGTGACGTCAGTCGTCCAAAGAGCCACCAGCTTAACCAATTTGGAATTGCAGTCTGGTTTGATTGATTTCTCGGATGCAAACGACAAATTGTGTGCTCCTATTGGTCGATCCCCACATTGTACTGCATTTTGATTGGCCCTCTGGCATATCTACAATGAGTGCATAAACAAACAATAAACCACGGCTGGTGTGTGACTGTGGTTGATTGCTTACGAGCAACAATCAAAATATGTCTAAGGTCAGGGGTATCTAATACGCTTTTCACCACATTTGTGCAAGGAAACAATTTCAGTCGAAGAACAACTGAATATTTTGTCTACAAATACACTCATTTTCATATCATCCGGACTTTCACGGGAGACTCAAGTGGATCTCTCGTTTATAGCAGTCTTTAACTGAATGTGCTGCACACAGGCTGCGTCAGGATTCAGTTGGCACGATTTTTGAGATATCGCAGTATATTTTTAGAAAGGAAACTACTCACAAG